GTAAAAATTTGAGAGTCATTGCATGTGTGGTTTTTGAGTTATAGATTTTCCTTTTATCATTGATTTATACTTGTGTAAATTTTTGTAAATTATCTAGAAATCCTATGACCATGAAATTTTGTGGGGAGTATCCCAGTACCTTTAGGATGTTAGGAAAAATATGAAATCTGTTGCTTGACACTTTTAACTAAGGTTTTCTATTTATGCCTTTTTAAGCACTTATGCCTTGTCATTTTTGTATAGGCTATTTTACTTATCCAAATGCAATGAAAATTTTATGGTGGTCTACTTAGAGTAGTACTATGCTACTGTAATTTTCACAGATTTTTATGAGCACCAGAAATATATGTTGATGTGTAGCCCTAGTTTAAAATGAAATCAAATGATCTTCTTTAATGCGAGTTTAGTTAATAATGTTCGCTTTGGTGTATCTTTGAAGCATCTTAGTTTGCTGTGGTGATTTGGCATGTTAGTACAGTGGTTGTTGTAGTAGATAGTAGTACATGTTCCTGGATGATGTTGACTACCTTGTAGAAGAGCCTTGCTACTACTATGTCCAATGAAGTTAAACATGGCCATCTACATTTCATGCATCATGATCATTACATGTCATCTCTCCGATGCACCTATGCATTAGCACTTATACATCTGCATCATATAGGATCGCAGGAGGAGTTGCTAGTAGCAGTTCAGGAAGAGCAGACCGGGACAGATCCACAAGAAGTCTAGGCACAGGAGGTGCTAGAGGAAGAGGAGCAAGGAGAGGACTTGCCCGAGTGTGTGGATCATCATCTAGTTCGTTCGAACGAGGCAAGCCCCGGAGCATTATAAGTCTCCTACTTTATAAAAGCAATTCTTTCTATATATATATGAGTTTATATATTGTTGCATTAAGTTGTAGGAGTTAATTGAAATCGTTGATGCATTTATTACTATCCTTGCCTACCTTATTACCTTTTACCCTGTTAGGTCAGGATCGAATAACTGCTTAGCCTTGCTTAGACCGGTAGTGATCGGTGATTTCCGATCACCTACTTTTATAGGTGGTTACTGGAAGAAATTAGCTGTGGAAAGAATGATATCCTGGAAATTAACAATGTGTGATGAATAATTAGAGACCGGACGGAAAAAGTTGGAGGCAGCCAGACAAGGTTCTGGGGTGCAGTTAGTTTTCCATCTGCGTCGATTAAGGACCGATCGTTGCTCGTCCCTCTTGTCATGTTGAACGCATGCCTCACATTTAGCTGGCCGAATAAAGTACCTTTCGACCGCGAAGCTAGTGACACCTTTTCGAGCCGGGATAAACTTGGATGCGCAGAGTGGTGCTGAAGAGGGTATAACGGGGACGCGAAGAGTGAGCCCAAGGTGCGTCCTGGCAGTCGGGCGGTCCCTGGGTAGTGCGGTCCATGATTGTTATCCTGCGGCTACTTAGAAAGTGTCATTGGTGATCTAAGCGACCCTGACAGGGGAAACATGGTTTGTGTGAGGAATAAATCACCAGCTGGTTAGGAATCGATTCGAATCGCCATCGCTCCTGGATAGTGAGCACTTGACTCAAGCTACGGCATCGTAGTAATTATTATGGAACAATGATGGTTATCTGGATGGTATGGGATATGCTAAAGCTAAATTGGTAACTGGATATTATTGGTTAATCAAGTGATTGCTATAGTACATGTGCTTACCTTGATGAATAGGTTATAATAAAGATGATGTAAAGTATTTAAAATGATGTCTTCATGATAATTTATGCTTTTCGCAAACAAGTCAGCTAGCCCACTAAAGAAAGCCTTGCATAATCCTTGGTGTTGCTTTATTTTAGTTTAAGACGGGTAAGTCTAGCTGAGTATCTTCTCATACTCAAGGTGTTGTTCCCATTGTTGTTGCAGATGGTCAAATGTACTACGGCTATTGCATTAACTGCCTGTATTCGGCGATGGGTGACAACTAGGACCAAGGGCAAATGGTCACCCCGTATCTCTCATCTGATGCTTTTGTTGGAGATGACTACCTACTGGCATTGTATCTGAACTAAAAGTGTGTGTGTGGCTTTGAAACTAATTGCTTCCGCTACTTCAGTTTGAACTTGGATTGTAATAACTTTATGTTTTAAACTCTGATGTACCGATCTGTGATTGCGAACTTTATGTAACGTGTGACGGTACTTGCTAAACTTGTACGATCTTGGTTTGTATGTCGAGTGGTTTGAAATCCTTCGTGGTTTCACGGACTACCGGGTTATACGGGCTTAAGTTTGCTAAATTATCTGCTTTGGCGGAAGATTTTCTTACTTAATCTCGTATAATTGGTCGGTTCTGTTACACCAAGTCTCAACAAACCCTTAGGGAAAGTGCTCGCACTCCCCCCGAGGATCGGGGGCTACTGTCGGATACCATGAAAAGGGGTACCCTAAGCAAGAACCGAAAAGATTGCTTAAAACCTCGCAAATATCAAAGCCAAAGGACAACGACAGGGTCTCGGCCGATTCTCTGACTCGCCTGAAGCCCGCGTCGCAACGACTCTCCGCCTCGCCGAGGCCCCCTCTTCGAGGCCCTTTCGTGCCGAGGCCCCGTGAGTGAAGCCTCGGACGAAGTACCGATTCTCCGACTCGCTCGAGGCCGGCTCGGCAACAACCTCGCCGCCTCCGCCTCGACCGACTTCTCTGACAAAACGTCACGCGTCCAACCACTCCCGCGACGTCAGCCGCACATAGGCGCAGTACAGCAGGGTGGCCGACGGGACGTGAGACAGGACGGAACAGGGGTTACTGGCCACTGTGCTCAGCACTGCACCCATGCCTGGCGCCCATATTGCACTGTGCTACCTAATTCCTGCTCCAGGAGCAGCACAGCGTGGGGAAGCAGGCACGGGTCACTGTAGCCTCGGAATCGGTGCATGAGACCAACTGCTCCCTCCAAGGCCTCGGCAATCCACTTCCAGGTCTCGGCAACCTCGGGATTCGCGCCCACCGAGCCCCCCATAATGGCTCGGCCTCGGCACCAACTGAGCCTCGGCTCTTTTCACCGTCAACCCATAGCGACCAGCACGTCGTCGGCCATACCCTGCGTCAAGCTGTCACTGGAGCGCCCACGTCATACAAGATCGGGTGTGACCGGCGCGTTGCTCCAGTACTTCAAGGACAAGACCACTCCGTTGACCATGCCGCTACAGTAGTAAGCTATAGGACTCTGGCACGTCACCTCCGCTCGCCGCATGGCGAACACATGTATCACCCCTGTCCCTCCTTCAACTATAAAAGGGGAGACCGGGGCCGTTCTTAGGGGGCGAAGCACTCACGAGCTCACGGAGATAGGTTCACGTAGACACACACTCTCCCAAGCTGCCTGAGAGCAATGTCTCAAGCAGCCTGCACCGCTCCACGCCGAGACCTGGGACTAGCTCCCTCTCTCACCCTGCTTGTAAACCCCTACTACAAGCACTTTGGTGCAAGGAATACAAGATCGATCTCTCAGACTGGACGTAGGGCACCAATTGCCTGAACCAGTATAAACATTGTGTCTCTTTGCATCACTATCCGGGATTAGGGACACGCAGTTCACATTTACTAGTTAGTTGAGGACCCCCCGGTCCGAAACACTGACACATACTTACACAAATAAATAAAAAGGATAGTGGAAACAATTTCTTATATTAAAACGACTGGTTAGGTACAGGAAGGTCAGGAGGGACGGGTGCATCTTTGCTAGACGCGTCGGGGTATAATTCTCGAGGATGACCCCGTTTTCGCCAAAACTCCTCCCGAAATATTTCTTGCATCTAACAAAACGGATATAATTTAACAAATATAAATCGAAACATCACAAATAAATGTCAATGAGAACCATAACTACAATACAACCAATTTCTTTCTAAGAACCGAAAGCAGTTAACATTAAACCATAAACCCAGGGTTTTCCATTTGATGCACAACAATGAACCCATAACATAACTACATGTGCCTAGGTTTGCTAGCTTTTTCACGCCTTGGCATCATCCTACGGTTGTATAATACATATATTGAGTGATAGAATAAAACCCTAAGTGATGACGATTATTACGTTTAAAAATCCGACTAATATATACCGAATCGATGCAAAAAAATTAGAAGGGGAACGAGGATACCTTGCTCTCGAAGATCTACGGATCAAATTAAAGTTTCCAAGGTCCAATATGTCGATTCGTGAGGTATGGTGAAGTGGGGAGAGAAAAAACCCGAGAGGGAAAAGAAAGAAGAGGAAGAACGCTCGGACAGGAAGGTTGGACCGAGGTTAAATGGCAGGGAGCTGAACGCCAGTCACTCTGGCGCCGAGCTCAGCGCCAAGATCTACGACGTCAGATTGACTGGCGCCGAGCTCCCTGCCATGTCACCTACCGAGCCCAAGAGCTCAGCGCCAGGGACGCTGGCACCGGGACGTGTTAGCTGTCCCTGGCGCCGAGACGTGTTAGCTCGACGTTAGTATCAATAACGCTGAGCTAAGGGTTCATTTTCTGAAATTTTCTGAAATCTTTCCTCAAGACATTTATTTATAAGAAACTTTAAAAAAAAAAGCTAAAATGTAAAAAATTCTGCAAGCGGAACCACTCCACTCCACGAGCCACGACACGTCTTCCACCCACACCCAGGAAGAGGAAGGCAGGCAGGCACGCCCACCCACCGAGCGGTCAACCGGCGCCATTAATGTAATCGCCTGGCAGGGCACCCCTGTCAGCAGACAGGACCAGCGCCCATGTGACCCGCTGTTTCCATCGCCACCCGACACACCTCACCCGCTGTCCAACCCTAACCACGCCTCGGAATTCAGCGACCGAGGAGAGAGTTTGAGCTCGACCGAGCGGCAGAGTTCCGGTTCAAGTTCGATTAGACTAAATTAATGACATACTAGAAGAGATTAAATCAGTAGTACTACATTAAACACCGTGTACAATGGCCAGTGACGCTACTAGGTCAATGCGCGCGTGCGTGACGTGTCTCCCGCCGGCGCTGGCACCGCAACGGTCGGTCAGAACAGGTCGAACCGGGCGTCCGGCCGCGGCTTCGACACCCTCCTTCGCACCGCGGTCGCCGTCGCCGCGCTGCAGGACTGCGAGCGGTGCAGCGGCGGGGAGCGGGACGCGCCCGGGACGACGGGCGGGCGGGAGGACCGGAGCAGCGCGAAGTTGAGCCCGCGGAAGAACGGGTGCGCCTTCACGTCGGCGGCGCCGCGCCGGGACCCCAGCCGCTGGCGGGGATCCTTGGCGAGGAGGCGTTCGATCAGGTCCCGCGCGTCGGCGTCACCGGCGCTGGCCGAGGGGAAGGACAGCGGGCGGCGCGCGATGTTGCGGAGCGTGGCCTCGTTGTCGGCGCCCGCGAACGGGGTGCGCCCGTGCAGGAGCTCGTACAGGAACACGCCGAGCGCCCACCAGTCCACGGCCGCGCCGTGGGGACCGCCGCGGGCCACCTCGGGCGCCACGTACTCGTGCGTGCCCACGAACGAGCACGACCGCGCCTCCACCGGCTCCGCCACCACCAGGGGCTGCGGCGGCGGCTGCCGCGCTGAGGCGGACGCGGCACGGCGGAGGAGCGCGCGCCGGCTGCTACCGCGGCGAAGCGTGAAGCGGAACAGGTGGCCCGGGAAGCAGGACACGGAGGTCGGTGAGTCGTCCTCGTCGTCCTCGGAGGCGGCGGTGGCGGACTCGAGCGACGGCGTGGACGTGGACTGCAGCGACAGGTCGAAGTCGGTGAGCATGATGTGGCCGTCCGCGCGGATCAGCACGTTCTCCGGCTTAAGGTCGCGGTACACGATGCCCATCATGTGCAGGTACTCTAGCGCCAGCAACACCTCCGCCGCGTAGAACCTGCACCGAGCACCGGCGCCGCCACCGTTAGCACTCATAGTCATAAGGTGCAGTGCGGCCGCAAAGACACGCGACGACTACTAGGTAGCACTCACCGAGCTGACGGCAGAGGGAAGCGGCGGTTGGGCATGCGGTGGCGGAGCGAGTGGAGGTCGCCGCCGGGGCAGAACTCCATAACGACGCAGGAGAAGTGGGGCGCGGCGTCGAAGTCGGCGAAGAGCGTGGGCAGGAACGGGTGGTCCAGCACGCGGAGGATCCGCCTCTCCGCCGCAGCGCGCTCCAGCTTCTTCTTCTTGGCCACCACGCGCCGGTCCACCAACTTCATCGCGTACAGGCAGCCGCAGGGCTGCCGCCCCGCCTCTGCCTTCGCGTCCGCCTCCGACCGGAGACGGCACAGGTACACGGTGCCGATGTCGCCGCCGCCGATGCGGCGCAGGAGCCTGAAGTCCCGCGGCCCCAGCGGCGCCGCGGCCGACGTCGACGCCGCGCGGATCGCCGCCCACGCCGCGTCCCCGGACCGGTGCGGCCGCGCCGGCGCTGGAGACGGGGAGGAGGAGGCCGCCGCAGCCGGAGCAGCAGACGCCGCCAAGGAGAGGGCCGCGGACGGGGAGCAGTCGAAGGAGAGGCGGGACAGGCTGGAGCACCGCGGCAGGCTGGCGGCGCTGCTGGCCGAGCTGAGGCTCGAGTTGGGCGCGGCCGTCGACGACGCCGTCGTGTCGGCGTCCGACAGCCGCTCCTCCCCGGCCGCTGGCCTCGGCGCCACCACCTCCAGCATCGCGAGCCCCGGACCAGGGCCCGGCTTGTTCCCGACGCGCACCGCGGCGACCATGGCCGGCTGGCAGCTCGCTCTCCGTGTGTCTCGTGCACTCGCGGCAAGGCGTGTGTGCGTTGCTGGGTGTCCAGTGCAGTGAGGACCAGTGAGGTTTCCGCGGTCGCGGCGTGTGGCCAAGGGGAGTTGGTGGCGCGGGCGCTTTATACCAGCGGCGAGGCGAGCCCACCACAGCCCACGGCGGGCGCGACGCGTGGGTCCAGGAGACGGACACGCACGTCGTGTGCCGTTACCGACGGCGACGGCACGGGGTCACGGACACGCGGGCGCGGCGCAGAGGATCCGGACAGGCTCGTGGTTGGGCGTGCAGGGACAGGGAGGGGCAGATCCGTCAATCCATCGCGCCGCAGGCTTTTATTACTGCGAGCTTCCGCGTGGAAGCAGTGCGAAGTCAAACCGGATCCGGTGCGGCGGACTGGCGGGGAGGCCGTGCGGAAACCGGAGTTGCAAGACGGGTGGGGGCCCTGGGTCATGATGGTACAGTACAGGAGCCGTTATGGATAGTGACGATGAGCCGTGCCGTACGTGCCTTGGCACGATTTATACGTACCTTCTTTCATCACGGATTGGAAATTCTGAAAACATTATATCGAAAATTTATTTTTACGTTACACTGAAAACTTATGGATGAGGTGGTTAGACACGCACTCAGTACTAGTATCAACTGGGATTATTGCCCGTGTACATACGAATAGAGCAATAATAACCAGGTGATTAGCAACGTTAGCTAACTGGTAACTTTGTCGGGGACGGCAATCACGTCAAGTCCGCACTCCCTGTGTGACTTGTGAGTGAGTGAACCGCAAGGCAGGCAGGCAGCGTTGCGTGGCCCGATTCCCTTACGCTTTTCACGGTGGCGTAGGGGTCGATCAAAAGCGTCGCATTTCTTTAAACTACGGGCAGTACGTACAGTACTGCTGAAAAAACGATAGTGCAAGAAAATGTCAAAGAAACCATTTTTTTTTTACTGGCGTCAAATTTGCGGGCGCGTCCTGCCCGGCCACCTGATTACCCTGTCCACTCTGAAGTCAGGGATAATGATTTTTTTTTGTTCTTTTTTCTCAGAGCTAAAGGTCAAAATTCTAATTCTAGCTCCATTGATTTCTAAAACTATAATTGCCTATAGCACCAAGAGAATTCACATATATCTGGGAGCGAAAGCTCGGTCAATCAAGTAAGGTCATGTTTGCTAGGTTGATCGAGCTCCTCAAACTCAGCTTCACCGATTCGTCCGTCCATTGAGAAATAATTTTTTGAAGTTGTTCTATGCCAAACTTTTTTTAGTTTAATCTAGTTTTATAAAAAAAAGGCTAACATTTAAATACAGCTAGATATAACATGAACTAGATTTTTTACTATATTTTTTGGTGACATAAATATTAATATTTTTTTGTAAAATCGATTAAATTTTAGAAAATATAACCTAGAAGAACTCTAAAATTTGATTTACTCCCTCCGTCCAGGAAAGGATGCAATTCTAGCACAGTATCACATTTTAGAATCTTAAGTTTGGCTAATTATAGATAAAAATATTAATATTTGTGATATCAAATAAATACCATTAGATTAAATATGAAATGTATTTTCATAATAAATTAATTTAAAGTCATAAATGCGAACAATATTCACTAAAAAAACTTGGTCAAACGTGAACTACTCTTATCGGCACGCAACGAGGAGTTGCATTTTGTCACGGAAGGAGGGAGTATTTAGGAGCCCAGCTGATGCTTTGTTTCACGATCGAGGAGAGAGTACTGTATTTGCTAGTGAGAAACCGAAGCTCCTGTCAGCCACACCAGACGAAGCCTGATAACCTAGGGCATCGGCAAGAGGAAACCATGGAAAAAAACCAGCAACTGTTTGAGATGAGTTGATGGAAGGGACCCTTGGGCGTAGAAGTCGTTACGTGGTCAAATTTTTTAATTTTAACTAAATTTATAAAAAATACGTGTAATATTTATATCTTTAAATAAATTTATTATGAAATTATATTCAATAATTTATTATAAATATTAATATTTTTTTATATATAATTTGTCAAAGTTAAAAAAATAATTTATTAAAGTTAAAAAAATGATTGGTTAAAGTTAAAAAAATGACTTCAGAACGACCTCTGTCCTGTCATAGGGCAGTACTCCACCGTGTAGTATATTGTTGTCACGGTCGTCGTCATGCGTCGGTCGGCGCGCCATCTCGCTGGCTTGCATCGTCGTCTTCACTTCTTGGCCGGCCGGCCGCGCGGGCGGTCAGACGGTACCATTACTGCTAGCAGCGATGGCGCGCATGGCACGTACCGACGTACGTACGTGCACGTTACAAAGACGTGGTGCGCTGCACTGCTCGTACGATGTGCAGTGTTGGCAACGGTGTCCAACGTGAGTACTACACCGTGTCCGTGTAGTAGTATATGGTGCACGTACAAGCCGACGGATTGGAGCTGAACTGAAGGCAGACACGTACTCCTACTCCACGCACGTACGGGAGCACAGTGGCCAACCGGCAAATCAGAGGTCGCATAGACCGCGTGACAAGGGTCTTTTGAATCTTTTACTACAGTTCCAGTATCACTGCGACTCCCACCGTAAGTCAAATATTTTAAACTTTAACTACAAATAAATTCTTTTTAAGTTGAGTTGAATAATCTCAAAATGTAATTTTATAAAAGTATATATTGATCATATTTTATAAATATTTATAGTAAAAAGTAATGGTCAAAATTGTTTTTTTAGAGCCTTATGCTGTCTAAAACGACATGAGAGTATCATGCTAGCTTTGAGTATCCCACTTCCTATGTTTTTTTTTTGATATTTTAGGAGTAGTATGTTGGTTTAGCATTTGGACAGAGTGACAGACATACAGTTGGGTCAAAAAAAATGGTGATATTTTTCTTCCGTATTTGTCTGAGATGCAAGCAGATTTCGTGGCGTCACGATGTTGATAATTTGATATTGCTGCATCTTTTGCGTCATTTGCAAGCATGTTACAAATATAAACATTTTATTAGATTATGAGAAAGGCAAAAATGAAATTCTGTGATCACTGAGGTCCTCCAATCCTCTCGGCATAGGGATGAAACAAACAAGGCCATGACAGGGGATCAGTCGGATCGGAGGAACGAACAGAGAGGTCGTGTGGGAGCATCAAAACCCGATTTCGTCGTCAGCGGCTCAGCGCGCTGTCTCTCACGTGATCACTAAACCCTGCGAACGGGGGGCAGCAGCGGCGGTCGCGTACGTTCGCGTGTCCGGTGAGAAATGCATGGGGCTCGTTGCAGCCAGTACGCGCGCCCCCTCAGGCCGGCGTGTCGTCCACGGCTGTCGTTGACGACGCACGCCGCCGGCGCCGCGAGCGACGCGCGGTCTCGGCATGCATGCATGTGCGCGGCGTCGGCGGTGTCTCCGCGCGATGCCTGCGGCCGCGCCGGCCGGCCGGCAACGGGCTTGTAAATGCCGGTGGAAGTATCATATCATCAAACCAAAGTTTAACAGAACAAAGTGGACTTTTTATGATTTTTATCATTTTTTCACCGAAGTTGAGTGACGGAGCTACAGGCAGTATCAGCAGCAACACACAAATATCAAATGACAAGCCACGAATATATAAAGGGAGTTGATATATTTTAGACACCTGAATTTTAAAATGATTTCATGAGACAACCTTACACAAACACAACCAACTAGTATAATTTAAAAGACAACTCACAAGAGATACTTTATAAATTTTTTTTTCTGTCGTTGAACAATGACAAAATTACTTGTTGCTTGATCAACAACAACAACAACAACAACAAAATGAGGCATGACTTGAAAAAGCAGAGTACTGTCAAAACCGATAGGACTGCTACCTGCGTGCACTTGATGCTAATTACTTACTTTAATCTGAGTTGGCCGTTCAATGGAGACTTGGGGCGTGTTTAGATTGCCTCAAAATTCCAAGTTTTTTCACTCTTTCCATCGCATCAATTTTGGACACGTGCATGAAGTATTAAATGTAGATAAAAAAAATAACTAATTACACAATTTAGTTGTAAATCACGAGACTTCTCTTTTTTTTCCCATTCCTTTTAGTCCAGTTCTTTGTCAAATATAAACAAACGTCTCTGATGTCCAGGTTTCCAAAAATTTGTAATCCTTGACAAGATAATCTGTCTGCCTAAACGGAAACCAAAAGCAGGAGCAAGTACACGCACCACGTCGCGCCAAGGACTCACCAGTCATCACCGTCTCATGTTAACATTTCTTTCTTTCTTCTTCTTCTTTTTCCCATTCCTTTCACTCCAGTTCTTTACAATGAACACACACACACTCTCTAGTGTGGTTCCTTTTCTCGAACAGAGAGAGATCATTGGTACGGTTATCAGTTTGCAATGATGTCACAGATCACCATGTCGATCTCCACACTCGCTACCTTTCATGCATATTTGGCCATTTGGGTGCATCCGAGAAGGAACATGCTGGACTATAATCGGCAAAGGAAAAGCTTTATTTTTGTACGGGAAAGCAACAGCCCGATTCAGGTACTACATGATAGGAAGCTGATGACTGATGAGCACAGGCTACCAGAGTAGTACTAGTGCAGTGGCGAAACATGCATTATTGCGCTGCTGAATCCGAGAATTGGGATTTTGTTATAATCTGTACTTTTCAACTTGTTTTTTTAATGGAACAAAAGTTTTCTCTCACAATTTATCAATCAAACGGTGTTTTAGTTATTTTTTTTGTACGCGAATACGGGCATGTATATCAACTTTGATGTAATGGAGAGAGTAATATATATATTTTTAGAATATATAGTAGTGGTAATATAATTGGGATCCAATTATTTGTGATGATGAACAAACGGTTAAATAATGAATGTTGGCTGGGCCCATGGCCCAGTGGCTGAACAAGAATCGAGTTCTGGTTAGTAGAAGACGCAAAAGCAAGTTCAGACAGAATGGCACACCAGTGCAATGGTCCAGTTTACAAGCAGAGCATATATAATAATAAGAAAAATACATT